TTCCACCCGGAACGACAGACAGACAAACAACAAAGTGACGTAATAAAAACGTGGTAAGATAATAAGATTGTTAAAATATCCAATATTTCTAAGAGTTCTAGTTCGTAAAAAATATTTCAAATATCTCAATATTATGTACGATCGGTAGGCCAAACAAATTGTTTATACCCGTGTTCTTTGTAGATAACAATTACTTAGCGAATTCTGTAAAAACTATTGTTTTTTATAGAACACACAGTCCACCTGATGGTAAGTGGATGCTGTGGCCCATAGACATCTACATTTATCCTCCAGTTAGAATCAAAAAGTTTCGCTGTCGCCCCTGAGGACTGAGATGTAATGCCTCGTTTCCAGTAAAAAGGATCTCTATAATATAATAAAATTTACATCTAAACATAAATTTAAGTACTATTTATTGAAAACTGTTACTCGTACAGAGAAAAAAGAAGGGATAAGGGATAACAACCTGTTTTAATGTTGTTGTGTTTTAATACCTTCTTAATTTGGATGTCATGATCTGGGGCAGTTGTTCATAATTTTTTGTAGTTGCCCATTTGCTTAATAATAAATTATAATACACCCATAGACAATAGTTAAAAAGACAAATAAGCCTGCAGTATTAGGTAAGTCAGTGCTTCCAATAAGGAGGGACTTTTTTGTTTCGTATGGGACCGACACAATCATATATTTAGTCGCAATTTTAAATCCCGATTTACGTGTTTGTTAGTGAATCATCTTAACATATTAAGGAAAGCGGCATTGTTTATAAATTAAAAATAATTCGAGAACATGTGAAGCCCGCCAATAGCCGATCGGGCAAAGTGTCTCCTCCTGCACAAGACCCTTTTAAAAAGGGAACGAGGTTAATTCTTATAGTAGGACAAACGTAAGTTGTTACATTTTACGTCTATCAGAAAGGCTCCTTAGATTCATTAAAAAAAAATCTAACCATTTTGTTCGTCCGCTACGAAATTTTATCGTATTGTTGTAAATTATCTTCGTTTTTTCATCGCTATTAGACTTCTAGGACCCAATTATTTTTCTACCGACTTCAAAAAGGAGGCGATACTCAATTCGACTGTATGTTTTTTTTATGTGTGCTACCTCATAACTATTTTCTTCATTCTTTTTTTATTTGAAAGCTGGTGCTTCTCATGTAGCCCCATGTAAATTTTATCAAGGTCTAACTCATAATTTTTGAGTTATTCTTAATAATTTATATTGAAGTCGGTTGTACATAATTTTTAATTTTTAATTATTTAAATGCAGAAGCCTATAATTTACAATAATTAATTCAGTACCTTTGAACTATAATGTACTTACGTAGTAGAAATTACTTCAATGTTTAGTATGCTTATTTTTACCCGATTATAGCAAAGCTGAGAGGAGTTACGTTTTTAATGACACTACTAGTTGACATGACTAGTTAAATGTTCAGTTCTCATTAAAAATTGTCAGTTTAGTCAAAGTCATCTAAAGACTTTTCTGTAATGCATTTTAATTAAGGACCTAGCACTATTATAGTTATAAATATTTCATATCTAATGTATTGGTATATATGTGTATAGTTTTAAGGTAAAATATATAATCCAAATAACAAAATTTTTTAAAGATTAAAGCAATGTTTTTAAATATTTATATTCTCATCATATTTTTTTTTATGATAGGTAGTTATTTTACCTGTAAACTTATATATGTGCATTTAGCATTTTTATCATGTGCCAAATTTTGGATTACAATAAAACAGGTTTGTTTTTTTTTTTAAATTAATGATATATTTTTGATTTAAAGAGCACATTTTACTTTTGTAAAGTAATTGATACCGTAGTAAGTACCAGCAAGAGAAATTTAGGTCGACCCTACACTAGACGGAGTGACGACTTGGTAAGAGATGCAGGAAGTCGATGGATGCAGGTGACTTAGGACCGTACTTTGTGTCATTCCTTAGGGGATTCCTATGTTCAGCAGTGGACATGACTTTTTTATAGGATAAGTGTGACAAGCGAGCACATCTGATAGTAAGTGGATGCTGTGGCCCACAGACATCTACATATATCCGCGATTAAGAATCAAAATGCAGATGCGTTGTCACCCGTGAGGACTAAGATGGAATGTCTCGTCTCCAGTAATAAGGGTCTCCGGTTCTCTACAGTCACCATACGAAATACAGCAGCATTGAGATGCTATTTTACGCTGGTATTCTGTGAGAGCGTGGTCCTTCCCCGCTTGAGCCGACTCATTCGTGCTACAATATAGCTGCAGTATGAAAAAAAGGGCTTCGGCAGATATTTCTAAAATCTTAAGTTTTATAAGGCAACATCTCATAACCACCAGTAGGTAGGTATAAATCTGTATAGAATATCTAACACGCATAATATTCTCAAATAATGTATTAAATAGAGTTATTGTCTGCTAAAAATAATGGCTATATTTATATAAGTAGTTAAAGTTTTGGATGGTAATAAAAGTCCAATGTTGTTATATTGTATTTCGAAAATTAAACCCTTGATTTGTTGCATTTTGAATGTGATAAAATTGTCAAAACGCAACAAATAAAGTATTTTTTTTAATTCTATGTATAGTGTTTAGAGTTGTGTTTTGTAAAATTGCGAAGAAGATTTTAGTTGTATGTACATATAGTATTTGCTTACTTATTACCATAATCAATAATATGTTTAAGTGAACATTTCCCGTCTTATTATAAAATGTGGTTTATTGTTATTAGTCTCTGGTTTAGAGAAGAGTCACTCTCACAAAAGAAGTCTCATAGCTGCGGCGCCAGTCTTCGCGAAATTTGACATTTGCTATCATATTCCTTGTTTTAAATTTACAATATAGTTCGCACATTTCCGCGGGAGTTCTTTCGTGAAACAGTGTCTAGCTTAAACCTGAGACTAATTTTTTAAACTATTTTTTGTAAGATGGTATTAATTTTTAATCTAAAAGTGTAATTTGCAGTACACAGCTACCATTGTTTTATATTTTTAAATTACCTTCAACCAGGTTTCCACTGTATTTATCAAGGAATACAACTACTTTTCTATATTATAAGACACATAACAGCTAAGTATTTTAAGCAATTTTGCAATTGTGTGTGTTGCCAGAGTTGATTCCTATAATAATGTAATACAGTCGTATACAATTATATTACACTTTGAAATAATCATTTCTAAAAATAACTGGTAGAAAATATGTAAATTGTATTTAGCCATGGTAACGTTAGTAAATTTTCTGCGTATTAAAGAAAAATGTGTTATTCTTATATTTATTTGGTTTTATTTCAAATTCCTTTAATATTTATATAAACAAACCTAATAACAAAAGAATACTTTCTGAAGAGAGTGTACAAGAATAACACGATTTGATCCCCCCATCCTCTAACCGGACTATAAGACGTAGAGTAGATCTCCATATCCTACATTTCGTTATAGATAGTTGTCTAGCTACCTAGATCGTCCAAATAAGATACTTATTGCTTTGTCAGTTGGAATAACATGTGTTTTTAAGTCTGCAACAAATTTTCCGTCTGGATACAATATTTGAGTGTTTTACAGAAAAAAATAAAGCTAAATTAGTTATAAGGGCAGGCGTCGTTTTTTGATATTATTGTCCCAACATGCATTTCGCGGGTACGAAACCAACGAAGAGACGAGTGAAGACAGGTAACCACGAAAATCTCGTAGCCTTCAATTGATATCTTGTATATAAAACTTCAACCTCTTTATATTGGCTCTATATACCATTTCAACCGGCACACTACAATACATGCTTTGCAAATTAACGGTTAATCTGCAATACTTATTTCATGCGCTAGTAGAATAAATTCATGAGGCCTAAAATAATTAATGTTACAAGTCAGTTATTTTATTTATTAAAGTAAAACGTTACCTAAACAAACATTAAAAATTACACAAGGAAATATATTCAGACCCGATACAATTATTTATAGGCCGTACAAACTGTGGCCGATCTTCCGTGCGGGATTCGAATACGCGGCCCTGCAGCACCGCGATCAAAGGCCGCATGCCATACACATTATATTGCCCAGTACTGGCGGCTGTGAAGAATCAATGTTCTCTTACTTTTTATGTTCACTTATTTAAAAAAAAATCATCGGGGCAGATTTCACAAGGACACGCATCCAGACTCGGAACAATCATTTGTAGGCCATACAAATACTTATTCGGTTTGGGATTCGAACCCGCGGCCCTTGGCGCTGCAACTCATTGTTAAGCTACTGCGCCACGGATAGATCTAACACCCATTTCTTCGCGTGGTTGTCGTAAGAGATGACTATGGAAAAGAGCAGTATAAGACCTCATGGTCTCCGATAAATAACGGTACATCACCATCGGTGATGCCTAAGTATAATGTAAGTAAATTAGACTGCCCATTGGAACCAGCGTCAAATGTGCGAGAAATCTGGTACTTTGATGACTATATGGATAATTCCAATTGGAGGGAACATGTCCAACTGTGGAAGACTAACGGGATGATAAAGAACCTTTATGTTAAGCAATTTTTATTTTATTTTATAAAACGTTACCCCCACACTAGGATTTTCTCCTTTATCGTGGAGGCAGTTTACAAACATACATTGCACGAGGACAAACATCCAGACCCGGAACAATTATTTGTAGGCCATACAAATATCTTGTTCCGTGTGGGATTCGAACCCGCGGCCCCCAGCGCAACAACTCATTGCTAAGCCACTGCGCTACGGAGACGTCAATGAAATATAATGAGGTGAATATACCATAATTGCTCCAACAAGGAATGTTTCAATTATATATTTATAATTTATACATTATTATACATTCTTAGGACAAAACTGTCTAAGCCAGAGAGTATGTTCCTTGGTCCTAAACGTACAAGCAAAACTTGTCGGTACCTGAACGTCTGTCGAGTGTCGACCGCACGAACGGGGTCATGCGCTCATTCGTCAGAACAGTGCAATACAATCCAAAGCTTGTTTAAAATAATCAAATTTAGATTCAAACACAATAGAGACTGACTTTCAGCATAACCATTACTGTGCTATTATATATTAGATATATTTTATAACCTATATTATTAGACAATAACTCAGATGAGAATTTACTAGTGATATTTACTTTATTAAGTTAAGCAGTGTCAATATAAATATTAAATACCTAGGTATTGGTAGATAGTATGGGGTTTTTATGCGGTTCTCAAGAGCAAAAAAGAAGAAAGTTAGTGCGTAGCAATATAATAAAATTATTGAAGCTTCAAGAATATTTACAATCAAAAAATGGTCACGTTCTTTTTCGACTTGATGCCAGAACAGTAATATTAAAACCGTAAGTATTTCATTTTTAATTCGTATAAATTTGTGGCTTATATAAATTTTATTGGCACTAAATTATCCGAATACCTAAAATAACAGGTAATATTATATTAAGAAATTTGAATTAAACGTAATACGTAAAATAAATCATAAAAAGGGCACAAGGGAATGTTTAGAAAGCATTTTATAAATATTCGTGATATGTATGTATTTTTTTAATTTCCCGCTCGTACCATTGTAGTGTTACTCTTTGGTAAATAATGAGGGCCAATCATTTTCCGAAGTCTGTGTATATTTTCCGCTCACCAAATGTCGCTAGATGAGACTGAAGTGAAGTTATTTGTTACACAGTGTCCATGGAGAATAGAGTAGAAAGAGGACCATCTCTTTATAAGAATAAGTGTCCGTAAAAACACGTCCAATAAGTATGGCGCTGCGGTAGCATAGGACAAATTAAAAAAGCGCCAAAAGTAATTAGAATAAAATGGAGAAACAAACAAGGACCGACCAATCCGCTTGGTAATGTACTACGTAAATAGTTGAGGTTTTGTATACTGGAATTTTACTAATTACTCTAGTCATGAAAATTTTTAAATATTTGAAGTCAGCTGACTTCACTCCGTCTACAACAGCTATATTCATATCACAGTTTTTCTGACACCGGCGCTATTGTGGTAGGTTTTGGAACTTCTATTTTCAGTATACAGTTGGACACGTTTTCAACTTTCCGCCCATATGAGATGGTTCTCCTTCTAATCCAGTGTCATGTTATGTAAAAAGTGTCCGTGTAAAAAACCATTATTAATCGCTCTAACAGCTCTTTTCGTACACCTAAACTCGAAATACGGCAGACCGCACGTGCGAGCGAGAACGTTCGAGAGCAAGCGAACAAGAGACAAGAGCCAACGAATGCCTATAATTGATCAAATCCATGAAAATGAGACGTTATAGAAAGATACATGTTAGGTATATCAGTGCAATAATGTCTAATTTAGCTTATCATCTGAATATATGCTGGAGTCGCTGTGTTTGCAAGTTATTTTATTTATTATACTATCAGATTATCTATTTAGATAAACTGCGCGATTCGTTCGCTTGCGTAGCCTCCGAAACTGAGGCGAATCCCGCATGTCATTATTTTTAGTTTCTCAATAGGAAAACCATGTTTGTTGATATTGAAGCTGAGGTTTTGTTGTTGTATTAACTGAAGAAGAATCTCAAGATGTGTTTTTTTATAAGATAAGGATGACAAAGGAGCACACAGTCCACCTGATTGTAAGTGTATCCTGTGAGAGCGTGGTCCTTCCTCGGTCGAGCCGACCCATTCATGCTACAACTATACCACTAATATAGCTGCTGCGTGGCTCTACCACGTACAAGGATGTGATGTACTTTTACTTGTAAAAACAATTCAAGGTTCAACGGCATTTTGAAAAATCAGGCACTATCCCGCGTATATTTCGCTGCAGCACGTGCGACTATTCGCGCCAATGTGATAGGCTTGAGCAAAAAAATATTGATATATCAAAATATCGATATTTTCTCATAAAAACATCGATATATATATATATATATATATATATGTTATATAGAGTATCGAGTTTGTATCAATTTCGATATATTTTAAAATATTGGACCATAACATGAAACAACAAAAGGAGCTACGAAAAAGCATTCGTGTATGGTCGTTGTTTTTTTTTTCGTCGACAATTGTCAGGAATATTAAATTTTGGGCCTTATCCTTACATCATGCAAATGATGACGTAATATCTATATTTATCACGCGATATATATCGATACTGTTTAAAATATTGATGCGAAATACATTTATATCGATATATTTTTTCCCTTTACCTCCCCTACAATGTGAACACCTCCATAGAAGTTAGCTGACGCTATCGGCGTGAGCGAATCGCGTCCCGTGTTCCGCGCGGGATTCGCCTCGGTTTTGAACCAAGCCTTAGTTTATTTTATGTGTGAGTTTCGTAGTGACAGAATTTTATTTTAGTCTGTGCAAATGTGCCCCCGCAAAATTTTATACTTTTGGTGGGAACTTGATCGGCGGCGGATTGCTGCTTGTTTAAATAATGATTTGAACTAAATTTTAATATATAAAAGTGTAATGTAAATGGTTATTGTCACTTGATACTGAAAATCTATAAAACGTTAATCCCGAATGAAATGAAGACACAGCTTAAAGAATAAGCATCCAAGCCAAGATCTTAATAAAAGTATAAGTTACTCTATGGTATAGTAATACAACATGAAGTTAGCAAAGTCCATCAAAAACACAATTACATTTTAGTTTGTGTTTTTGATTACACGATTTGTTACATCTTAAGCGAATTAGTATTTGTTTTATAGCGATCCTCTAAATAAGTTGTGGTTCTTTCTAAATTCGTGATTACAGTAAATATTTTTTGATCGTAGTAATTCATGTTCCTGAAAGTGAAGTGTATATCCTTCTGGGATTGTGGAATAATGAAAAGCAGTGCGTTTATCGCTTTGTAGCGATGTGTGAATTCATTAAATTGAATTGATAGTGATTTAATGTAATTCATGGTGTTTCAGAAAATATTAGTGTCATTTGAAAAGCATAGTTCGAATCATAGGGTCCACAAACGAGCAGACGGATTCTATCATGGTCGTAAAACGGTGAGTTTTTATAGCGTGGTCCTTGTACAATAAAGAAGAATACCTACTTTAAAGTATAACAGAACACGTCTTATTATTTGACTCTATATTATTGATCATACTTTGTTTATGTTTTCGAACTTCATGTCGTTTATCTATAGCTTATTTTCATGTATATAATTTCGTTTTTACAATGTTTGTTTACTTTTGTGAACCAAACGTAGGTATATATAGTATTAACACACAAAACGTTTTATTGACATTCGAAGTATAAAATCAAACATTTCTTTGTTTACTATGATTATTGATCCGTTTACAATTAGATAACTTAGTATTGTAATGTCTATTGTTCTCTTTGTAAAAACGAATTTCAAACAATTCAGTCATTTACAGTTACCACGATCTATGTATGTTACCCATTGGGGTTGGATTTGAAAGTAAGTCGCCTGAATTTGAGGATTCTGTCACTGTAAGGGGGTCAAGAAGTTTTATCTGAAGCACCCCCATGCGATTGTTGCTGTCGAAGCAGCGTCGAAGTATTTTTAATTATTTTTTAAAATATTGGTAAATCACTAAATAAACGTTAAATGATATGTACACTTAACTAAATTCTAGAATAGAATAAAATAGAATATTTTTTATTCAATATACATTACATTTGTAATTCTTATTGAGTCATTTTTTACTTTACCACTGGTTTGAAAAAACCCTCTGTCCTGGGAAGAACCAGCAAGAAACCCAGCGGGACCTTTTTTTATATAAATTTTTTATGTTGAAGCTGTCAAAGTCATTTCAAAAATGATAAAAGCATAATGGTTCGCTAGGCTGACCATTTTGTTGACCGTGACAGATATACTTTACGTCATTTCGCTGCATCCGAGTTAAGTGAATGTGCACCCTAATATTTCTATCTGCATTCTCCTGTTTTTTGAAGACTGCTAATTTCGCGAAGATCCTTTTTTATAAATGGTGGTAGCTATAAATTTTGTTTATAAATTAAAGTAATTATAAAAGTTAATATATTGGTGTTTTATTGAGTGCAAGAGCGAGAGAAGTGAGCTAGTGACTTGCGGCACCTGACTCGGACAGGTTAGGTTAGAAGGGGATGGCGGGGTCTATTCGCTGGCTCACTCGACCCTGCCTCCCCCTTCATGATTATTTTTTTATAAACCACTCAGAAATAGGAGCCCCACCAAGTGGGGCGCTGTCAACCAAGCTTCCTTCGACTGTGCCACGTTGAGTGGCGTTGGGCTACCCTCCCCCATCTCTATCCCCCCATAAATCAGGTTTATATATTCAAAAATATTACAAAAACATAACCCAAAAATTAGATTTTTAAAAATTTATAAAAAAGACTAAGAAAATCTGGCAGGGGGGAAGTGGGGGCGGCCCTACAACTCCCCCTCCTTCCCCCCACTACTGTACCACCCCCAATTCGGACGACTTACTTTAAAACCATCCCCATTTGAGTCAAATCACGTTTTGTACAAATAATTATATTATTATATTTTTGTAATTTTACATAAAATCTAACTGCTAAATCAAAAAGAAACTCGCTGGTTTTTTTAATGTTTAGATGGAATGTCTTCATAGATATCTCGTACACTTAAGTTTAATTTCAAAGGCTGTGGGTTCAAACCCACCATTACTGTGGTGTTGATATGAAATACTCCTAATAATAGCGTTTTCAATTTACTTGGGATGGTCAACATGAATATTAGTTGTGTTAATAACATTGATAGTACTTTATGAAAAAAATTTCCTTTGCATATACTTTGCCATAGATTATATACAATTAGCAATAAAATTTTAGACGAGAATGTAAGGTTAGTAGTTTAAAATAGTTTTGATTTGTAATAAATTACAGAAACCAGTGTAAAATAGCAGCTTAATGCAGCTGTGTTTCGTATGGTGACTGTAGACATCTGGAAAAGAGGCATTCCATCTTAGTCCTCAGGGGTGACAATGCATCTGCATGTTGATTCTTAATTGAGGATACATGTAGATGTCTATGGGCCATAGCATCCACTTCCTATCAGGTGGACTGTGTGCTCATTTGTCATCCTTATTCTATAAAAAAAATTTAGAGAAAATGGAATTCACTTCCTATATTGAATGTTGATCTAAACTAAACAGACATGCTAGAAGACAATGGCTGCCTATGGCCATTGGCACTGGGGGCCGCCGGTTCGAATCCCTTACGGAACAAGTATTTGTATGGCCTATAAATGATTGTTCTGGGTCTGGATGCGTGTCCTTGTGAAATCTGCCCTTTGTGTTTGTAAACTGCCTCCACGATACAGGAGTAAATCCTAGTGTGGTGGTAACGTTTTACACTATATATATATATATATATATATATATATATATATATATATA